AAAGCCTGAGAGCCCTTCTATATGGGATTAAATTTTCAAGTATCTAAGGGCCTTGGTTTTTGCTGTGCAAAATTTTGAAAATTTGCAATTTTTTTTTAATCTGAATTGCAAAATTATTATGCAAAATCTATCGAATCGATTTTGATGAAATTTGGTGTGATTATTCTACATAACATGAAGTTTTCTTGAGCCAAGTATAAAGGTTCTACACCCAATTTAAATACACCAAAAAAATTCCCTAAAAAGTATTGTTTTTTAACCCCATTTTTGTGATTTTTTCGATTTTTACCATAGTAATCATGATTCATTCGATTTGTAACCAGTCATGTATTATAAAAAATTTAATTACAAACATTTTTTTCCTCATCCATTTTCGCCTAAAATCTACTCTGAAAAAGATACGTAATTAAATAGGAAGAAAAATATGACATTTTTCTATTTTTTTTAACATATTGTGCCGTCAAAAGTTAAGCCCACGTTTTTTTATGCGCATAGAAAAATTTTCATTTCTAGTGATATTTGAAAGCCAAAAAGCCAAAAATCTCCGTGGATACAGCTTGTAGAACACCCTGTAAAAGGAAAGCTGTTATAAATTGATTTATTTAATTACATATGGCTTCTGCGATCTGAAAACTAAATAGCAGTTTTTTTTAGCCAGTACCATAAAATAATTTATTATAGTTATCAAAAAATATTCGGCACTCCTACTACCGTTAATGAGTCCAGTTGTATGTACATCTGTAACGTAATTGTCCCAAATACTTGATATAAATACATAATTTATTTGAACTGATTGGATGTAAATGAAAGCTGTAACTACTTATGTAATATTAAAAATGTTTGATCACTAAGATCGTCGTTGAAAACCAGTAAAATAATCTTAGATTAGGTATTATAGAGCATGATTCTTTAAATGACACACCCCTTATAACTTTTACATGGATGGTCTGATTGTTGTAAAATTTGACATCCAGGTATAAAAGCATGTACTCGATCCATTACAATGCAATGTTGCGAGATTATTATTTTTTCAGATATAACAGGAAACTTAGATTTATGTCCAAATAAATAAAAATGTATGGTGTCTTCTTTTCAACTTGGTTTCCATTATATTTAAGGTAGCAATCTGACAACAATGCAGTGGTTTTCATTAGGCCCACGGAGAGTCTAACAAAATAAAAAAGTCACTTTAAACATTCATTGCAAATGCAACGGATGAAGCTATTTGTCTAAACTTCACATAAGAAAAGGAAGTGTGTAGTTGTAATTTGAAAAGGTTATAGGTATATATATTGCAGAACTAATTAGGAAAGAGAAATGTTAAATTTAATTTCATTTCCAGGATACATCTACTACCATTTTTAGAAAAAAAATCAGACAATGTTTCCGAGAGAATGTAGATAATTGCGACCTCGAGTAATAGAATTTCAATTTAAAATTAATGAATAATAATTCTATAGTATCTGGTAGAAAAATATAAATGAATAATTATGTATTATGAGGTTATCGCAATTCAGAAATGAGTTTGGAAAATACTCGGGAGAATTTAAATATGTTATACTTTTTAGTGATTTTTCTTTAAGTCGGGGGATTCCAAGACTCCTAAAAACTGGAAAATTTGTAAACCTTTTTGTGATTTTTTGAATATATGGAGTGTAAATCTAATCATCATCTAACTTTAACTTTTCAAATAGGTTTCACAAATTTGAGTCCTTCACCAGGTTTTCAAGCCTGTATTTTATTAGACGGATATTCTTTAGATGATTCTATAATCCAGGTAGTAGTACTACTGCTATTTGACGTATAGGATTTTGGTTCAGTGGGTCTACCGTTAACCCTTTTAATAATCCTTCGTAGCTTGTCTCTGTCTAGAAATTTCTTACTACTTTGGTCTTTATGGTTTAGATGAGTGTCTTAATAATGTAGCTATTTCAGAAAGGTATTTCAGATAAAGCTGTAGATGACCTGGCTAACTAATTATGTTTCTTTTGGTCCGATATCTAGATCTGAACAGACCATAAAATAAATAACGGTTCCCTAGATGAACATTACGTTTGGTAATTTAGGGAAATTTGTCATCAGCCTAGAGATCAAAGAAGTTGATTTAGGCCAGGAAATATAGAGTTGAACGCGACTTTTTGTTTCGGCAAGCTGAATTTATCACTATAGATGCAAAATATTACGTACAATAACATATTAGTTTCCGCAGTCATAAAAATGGGGGAAAGATTGTTTACAGGGTAGTTCATTGTATAATTTCTACTTAAATTCACGTTTTTTGCTTACAACTTTTTTCCGTTCATTTCCCCGAGAAAACAGTAAAGTACTTTTTTTTCGTCTTCAAAAGACCTATAAAACTAGCCCTCGAGCGTCAAAAAATATTGATTAGATCAAAAGTTATTAACAGAAGAAATTTATTTATGACTTTTGAATTAAACATTTATAAACTGCGTTATTATTACTAGAACGTTTTGGCATCGCATCCTCTCATTCCTTGTTACTGTTTAATAACTCACACTCTGGAATCGGTAAGTTGAATAGTTTACGGCTAGTTTTGTAGGTCTTTTGAAGACGAGCGAAAAAGTACTTTACTGTTTTCTCGTGGAAATGAACGGAAAAAAGTTATAAGCGAAAAACGATTAATTTACGTAAAAATGATACAATTAACCACCCTGTAAATAAACTTTCCCCCATTTTTATGACTGTGGAAACTAATATGATATTGTACATAATATTTAGCATCTATAGTGATGAATTCAGCTTGCCGAAACAAAAAGGTCTTTTTCCTGGCCTACATAGTGATAACATAAAAAATTATAATGACCTATGACTAAGTCCTGAAACACATCAGATTTAGCGAGAAATTACTTTGTATCAAATGCACAAGAAGTTAATAGAAAAATTGACATATATTAATAGTTCTATCATCGAATATCACACTTTTTAAATTCTTAAATATCTTGTGTGTCTTGTGTTGTCCAGTTGAATTTAGGGTCTGACCAATGTCTTGCTACATCTGATGTGAACTCAATACTGTAATAATTTTGTTTAGGTATTATCGCTATCATTTACTCATTTTTTAAGATATTAAGAATTCAAACAAACTAAAAAAATTAAATCTTATTAAATGTAGCAAAAATTAATTGTCTAAAATGAAAACTGAAAATAATATGCCTAATTATAATTAATACAGAAACAATATGTACCTGATTAATTGAAATTGTTAAATAATGCAATCATTTAAATAAATATCCTGTATTCTTGCTATTCTGTTATCAAAGACTAATCACGTAAAAACAGCTACCTACAAAGAGATTTTTTGTTTCAACATTTTACTTGGGATCGGGAAGCTTCCCTTTTCGTATAAACTAAACATCTGTTAACAGAAAGAATTGTATATAATATCAAACTTTTAGAAAAATTGACATTTTGAAACAGCAGTATCAAAGTTTTAATACGACTAGGTTTAATAATATATGTAGGTACTTAAAAGTTATCACTACTATTGATCTGTGTTCTTTTCCTTCTTAAGAGGCAACTCAGTCTCAGCGAAGCGTTTGCACCACTGAAGATGCAGGCAGTGAAGAATGTCGAAACGTTTGGAAACATTGGATGCGATCAATTAGAAAGGCCACAACAGAACTTCTAAGATATCACAGTTCAACCTTCAACCTAGCAACGAGAATCAATATCAATATCAGGGTAATCCTGGAGGTTCTAATAGCGAGTTTGCCCCCACCGACCTAGCCCGACAACAACAAGGACATGTCAAAGATTCCTGGCTATGGCCACGGCATAAGAACCAAAAAACATTCCTCCTTTAAATAGCAATATATTAAACATTATTTCTTTTATTAGTTTTATTTAAATTTCATCATCGTTAACTTAAAAACAAGTATTTAATTATTAATGGTAATTTTAATTTAAATCTTTTATTATCTACTCATCGAAATTTAATATTTACTTTACAATTTTTATATAGTTTATAAAGTAATAAAACAAATAAATAAATAAATAAATAAATAAATAAAATAAAAATCACGAATCTGTTTAAAATATAGTTTATTTAATAAGTGAACTATGCATTTTATTAAAGAAACGAGAACACCTTATGGATATGCGTAATAAGGACGTCCATCCAAATAACAGAAAAGTATAGTAATTCATACTGATATTGCCTGTAAGGGGTGTTTTTACAATAAATTACATAAATATTTTCATAAATAAGGCATGTAACGATTAATTATAAATTGTACCTATACTAAGATAGATTAGATTAGATAAATATTACCTATAAACCACAGCCTATAGACTATGTATTTACATATAGCGGGTATATTTTAAATAATCTAAATATGTAGTAATTACACGGTTTTAGACAGTCGCAGACGTCTAGTAAATTTGATTTATCTTAATGTGTGTTCATCGGGATGTCGTTATGGATCCGCATGTCCACATAACAGATCCATAGACATGAGAACAAATATGGACAAAAAACGGATACCCAAAACCATAAATACTACACTACACAGTTGTGGCATACTATTAACATCAGTTATAATTACATAATATTGTAGGATGTTGTTCGATGAACAATATTATCCTTTTTTATTTTAACATAATTGATATCTAAACTACCAGCTGAAATATTTCTGGGTAGGTACCGCATTTTTATTGCTCAAAAAAAAAATTATTCTACGTACCAACTCAAGACAGAATTAAGACTATACAATTCATTTTACACTTAATATATTTAACTCAGTTTTCTAGTCAATTCTAGTGTCTCGAAAATTTTCATAGTGCAACAATTTGTAAACAATAGAAAATAATTTGGTATTCACAATCCATCCGATCAAAAATATGACAAAATAATTAACAAATAGTACGGCAGTGCGTTAGTCATTTTCTTCGTCTGCATAAACGGATTGTTTACCCCCATTCAAGAGAACGTAGGTTATAAAGAGACGTACTGCACTTCACCTGAAGACATTCGTTGTTACTCTCACTGTTATACATTGTTAAAACTATACTGGTAGTGCTTTAATTGAGCCTGATTTACGTGACGGTATTTTTTCGTGTTAGTGCAGTTTGGATTTAGGACACAAGCCAAGATGCGACTCCTTACTACAGTAAGTCTTACCCTTTGCCTACACGATTACATCGAATACCTTAGTTGAAAATATTACGTTTCTAATTTAAGATTTTCACTTTTTTTCTTTTTTAAGACAGTACTTATTTCATTTTTTTGAGATTATTTAAAAAAAATTAATATAATTATCCAAACATTATTAGTTTTAAAAAAGGCTTTTTAAAATATTTTAATTTTTCAAAAAAAAAAAACAAAATTTCATTTGTTTCTACATTTTGCATCAAGTACCTATATTGTAATGATCTATGCAATTTTTTTTAATAATCTATGTAGGGAGCAAATTTTACTGATTTTTTACCCATCAATTTCATTTAAAAAATCATCAAAGTATAGTAAAAATAATTACCTGATATAAAATTGTGTAAGACAGAAATATAACCTTACTTTAAATTAGTTCTTCTTAAAGTCTTAAAACATTTAAAGTAAAGTAATACATAATATAAGAACTAATAAATAAGAAATATATAGTCGAAAAAATGGAACTATTATTTACTTTCGTATTGCTGTTTTACAGAATTTTCTTAAAATAAATATTAGGAGAGCTTTAAAATTGCCAGGTACATAAACTCAACATTTCACTTAATTCATTAAAATAAATTTTATAAATTAAATTAATTCAAATAATTAAAAATATATATATATAAAAAATATATATTTAAAAATATATTTTATTTAATAATCGATAAACATATTCAATGCTCCTATATAATTACTTATTTTTATCTTGTAAACGTTAGTGATAGAAATATTATTACTATTTTGTTTTATACTTGAATGTCATTTTGCCATTCTAAAATTAGATATAGATTTTTTTGTAACTATTTCACAATAATTGAATAGCTTTTAAACTGTTTCTTCAAATATTTAAACATTCTTTGTAAATTTGAAGTAAATAAAATTATTTACCTATGAGCTAAAATATACAAGCAACCAAAATAAATGCAAGATGACGTTTATATTGCTTTGATGTACATCGGAGTAAATTCCACATTTTCTTAAAACTCATAGTGAAAAACATTCAAATTACTATACAGCTATTATACAAATTAGAAAGATGGACTGCACTATTATTATTTAAATAATATTAAATTATATTTAAACTGCAAACTATTTTTCACAAGTATTCTAAATACTCTGAAGTGTAGGAAAATGTATCAAAAAATTTAAAAAAATTTCTTAAATTCTAAATTAATGTTTAAATATTTATGGAATGCAGCAAAGAATTATTAATTTACAATTTAAGCTCAGCCTAAACTTTGAGTTATGCATGTGCAGTTGGCCCATAATAGTTAATTTAATTTGAAATATAATTGAAATATAGGGTAATTTACAAATATCTGCGAAAATTTTGTGTTTATATTTAAAAAAGTAGTGGGACAATTTTTAGAATTTTTAGAACACTTAGGTATTGTTAGTGTAGGTAGTTAATAATCCTAATTAAGCAATTTTTTCAAATTTCATACATAAATAATAATATAAATAAATAATATATATCACATAAAAAAATATCAAAATTCTGAAATCGTAAAAGTTCTGGGCCTTATTGATAAAGAATTTTGTTATAACTATTTTATATGTAATTTTCCAAAAAGTTAAACAGTTCGATAATAAATATTATTAAAAACTATCTCTTATTTCAATACGATAACATTAATTGTTTCAAAGAAAAAACTAAGTATTTATAAGTATTATGTCGGTCGATAGCCGCACGGTTTAAGGCGTCAGTCCTTTAATCGTGTGCAAATTTCTGCCCGGGTTCGATTCCCGCGTCCGGTAGACCGTAGATTAGCCATGCTTGTACGGAGGATTGGCACCCTCTGTGGTGGGGTGGAAGAATGTTGCCTTGGCTCAAAGTGAGAGATTGACACCGGTTGCCATTTGACCACCCCCCTAATTAATGAGGTTTTCTACGTTTCCCTCATTCCTGCACTGAATGGTGGTTAGGGCTTACCAACATAAGTCGTTCCTGGGCGCAAATGCGGCCTGCCTAATAATAATATGCCGCCTCCTCTCCCGCACAAGTCTCCGACTTATGGGCTAATTCTCGTAATTAGAATGAAGAGTAGAGATATTATTATTTAAGTTTTGGAATAATATTTTGCTAGACATTTTCCGTACATTGTTATTTTCATAATCCGGAATTTTTATAAATTAATCATCGCAATTTAAGATGCAGCTTTAGAGCTAACAATTTTCTTCATTTTTCTCGTACCTAAATATATTTCCTTGTGTATAATAATTATATCAAACTTAAAAACTATTGAAAAAGAGGTTAAGTAATTAATTATAAAAACCTATAGAATTAAAGCTTCCTAGGAATCTATATTATATATATTTATATAACCTAAATTTTGTTTATGTATTTCCAAAACACCTTGTATTTAAAAGTATCTTTCTGGTTTATTATTTTTAATCAACTGAAAACCATTTAATAGGCATTTAGATGGTACAATTGTCCCACATATTAAGACATTTTTAAGAGTTTTTGTGCGTGTATTTAATTTATATAGGTATTGCCCCAAAAAAAAATAGAATTATTATTAATGCTTTATTTTTTCTCAAACACTAAGTACACTTCAGCCTATTTCCACACTGTATATTATAATTTCTAATATATTTTTCATATAAAACGATTTATAGAAGCACATTAAAACATTTGTTGAGTTATTGCATAATACGTAATTCTAATTCTGTATAAGGATTACATATGTTGAGCAACTAGCTGTAAACACTGTCAATGAAAGTGCATTTCCTCTGCTTTATCCTTGATGTTTGGTATTTACTTTTCCACTGATGTTTGAACCAGTATTAACATGAGCTTAAACAAACAATTCTTGTTTTTTTCCACCAAAAATTACATTGCACATTAATATAAGTATTGTAATTGCGATGGAGGCGATGAATTATAGATAAGTTGATTGTTTAAGAAAATAACTATATGGTATAATATAAATTAAAGCTCCTGAGGCCTCACAAAAATAAAATCATTTACACCATGAAGTTCTTAATGGAAAAAAAAAAATTATTAATATCCTCATTTGAGAACATCTTCATTTTATTAACATTCATTATTTTTAAATTTAGCTTCATTTCATAACGATTTTAAATTCACTTCTTGATGTCTTCAAGGCGTGCCCGGTTGTTAATTTCTCTTACATGTTTTCTTATGTACTTACTTAGTTTTTATTTCATAAGAACTTTATATTTCGTTACGCTTAGATAACCATGTAACACAAATAAACTATTTTCTAGCCAGTCAGTAACCTCTAAGAACTATCAATTTTTTTTATTTCTTGGAACTCACATTGACTCTTGACAAATAGATATTTGGTGAATTTTTTGAACAACGATTTCCAAAGAAGGAACGAATTTGTTTCTTAATAATCTTAAAAGGTATGACCTTCTATAAAAGATTTAATCAAAAGAACTGAAGTTGTTTAAACTAAGAAAATTATGTGCAAAATCGAACACCTGGCACAAAAAAAGGTATAAAGATGTCCTTGAGATAATATTACATACTTGCTAACTTGCTACATCTCTAAATAAAACAGTTGCGTTTTCATTGAACAAATAATAATAATTTAAATTCCATTCAAAAATCATTGTAGAACCCTTCTCATTTAATTTTCTGTTAACGGAGTTTTTTATACCACCGTTTTATAAATGATTTATAAGCGGGTCAACCGAGATAAATACCCAAAAAAATTAAGAAATCAATATCGATATTAACAATCAGCATCGGAGGAAACTCAAGAATTATCAAATGTAGTTCGTCTTTTGAGATCAGACTGGTAATAAAAAAAAAATTAAAAACCATGGAATAACAGTGACCTCATTCGTATAGAAAGATGTAACAAAATTTTAATAAGGAAAATTATTTAAATGTTCAAATTTTGTGGCCACATATCAGTTTTGATTGCGATTGGAGAAAATTGATAAATCAATTCAAATTTGCTTTAATAAAATATTAATATTTCTTTAAGAAATATTATGTGGATTATATATTTTCGTAAAACTAATAAATATTAGTAATAATTTTCGTATAACTAATAAAACTTAGCAAACTTGCTCGTTAACAATTGGTAATTAATTTCTGTTCAATTCCAAAATTGGTAGATGGCTATAAAATTTTATTCTAAATCACTTTTCTAAATAACATTATGATATTTTCTCATACAGAGTGTTTTTGAAAGTGTCATAGTAGAGATTAATAGAAAATAAAAAATTAATATTCTTTTTATGGACGATAGGCCTATTGTTTTCTGTTTTTGAGATACACGGCGTCAAAAATGGTTTATTAAAATAAAGTTTTAGGTACATCATTTCCAAAAACCACAATTTTTGAAGGAACGATAGACCTCTGAACTAAAATTAATTAAAAGTCGCATTAAAATTTTAAATTTATGCAAATATTTTAAAACTTATATACAGGGTGTCCGCAAATTTCACCGACAACGTTTGACTGCATATTCACGACAATAAATAAATACGATCTACGAAAAAAAAGTTAAATAAAAAATGTTTGATATTTGAGTTACAAGCCTTCAAAGCTGTCAAAAAATGAAATTAATTTAATTAATAGTTTCATAACCCTTTTACCTATCGCGTTAAAATTTGGCACATTTTTTTAACTATTATGGCATATCATGGCATTTAGCGGTCAAAACTTTGAGGACCGTATTTTTTTAAAACGGACAGCAACATTGAAAAGGTCGTTTAATTAAAAAAAAAAAATGTCTCTTGAGAAAATCGCCATTGTGGAGTGATGAGAATTCTAAAGAAACACAACAATAATGACATTACCTTATAGCCAGAGCAATCAACATCTTGTTTTCATCGCCTACTGAACTTAAAGTTTTAAATGCGTGACACTGCTACGCAAATCGAAACATGCAGACCTGCAAATAATGCCATTTTTCTCAAGAATGGCTTTCTGTAGGCGATTTTCTCAAGAGAGATTTCTTTTATATATAAAACGAC